CAATGCAGTTTGATTCCCATTTTTTAGATAGTTGTGTAAAACTTCAGGGTATTAAAGCAAGTTGGAGTATCTCCAAATGCACACTTATAGGATGGGGATACATGGCTCAGTAGTGCTACATGTAAAAAGGACCTTGAGATTATTGTTTATTTTGCACTGGCCATAATAATAATAATAATAATAATAATAATAATAATAATAATAATAATAGCATTCCATTCTGGGTTCCTTATTTTAAAATATAAACAAGTTGGAGAAGGTTCAGAAAAGGACAAGGACTTATGAAGAACAAAACATGTGAGGAAAGGTTGAAGGAGCCTGGCATGTCCCTTTTGGTGACATGATCTCTCCTAGAATACCTCAATGGCAGTCATAGAGAGAAGAGGCGGCAGCCCTGTTCTCTTCTGTCCCAGACTTCAACTACTGGTTTGAAGTTATAGGAGACTAGATTTCAATTGTACTATAGAAGGAACTTCTTGAAAGTAAGAGCAGGTGGAGGTCTTCTCTGGGCATCTTCAAATAGGCTGGGGATGCTTTAACTAGAAATGGGACTTGGCCCATGAGAGCCCTTCCATATTCTATTAATCTAAGAGTTTATGTGCCTCAGTGTAACCACAGCTTCAGATATGATGTTTTATGAAGCTGGCAATGGTATACTGAATGAAATCTCTGTCATCTCCCAAAATCTCTTCAACTGTAACTGTAGATCTGAGCCCTGGTGGGAAATTACTAGCCAAAATCAGAGACTCCAGCTTAAAATGCTATTTTATTCAGTTAGTGGCTCTACTTAGCCCATACAGAAAATGGAATCCAGGCTGCTGTTACATTTCTAGTCATGGTAATGGATGTTGGACTCAGACCTCATTCTATTTCAAGCTCTTGGATCAGCATCACAGTGTTCATGTAAGGGCCATGTAATCACATTTGGTTTATAATTGGCTCTTTTAATGGACTAAATCCTGGGCTTGGTAGCAACTGGCAGTACATGAAGGATGTACTGTTTCTTAGTTATATTGCCCAGTGACTCCCACTGCATTCTGTAACAAAGAAGAGAAGCCAAGCATGGATTTTGGCTGGAGACAGTGCCTCTGAGTTGTGTACATGCACTTGTTTTGCCATGATTAGAACCAAACACAAGCAAGGACAAGCATCCCAGGCTTTCAATGAGATTGTATATATGTGCTAGGCAAAAAAAAAAAAGGAAAAAAAGGAACGAGAGGAAAGTTTGTTTTTCTTTCTTTCAATTTTCCTAAAGTCATAATTTTTACACACATAATATTGTCAATGTGTTATTTGTTAGCATAAGATTTCATAGACTGAGTCAAGTTCCTTAGTTATACTCTATTGCAAACAATAATTCTATAGTTATTCTATAAAGTGTGTTATGATTCATTCTTATGGTCCCAGGGGGTACAGAGTAGACTGGATGGCCTCTAACAAGTTGGAAAAGCCGTCAATTAAGAAGAGGAAAACTTGGGTCATGGATTTCTGCAGTCTTTGCCTCTCCAATGTCAGAGCACTGATATTTGTTCTTAGTCATGCTGGCAGAGCTTCTGGGTGTGCAGAATCTAAATGAGCTGAAGTCCATAGGTACTTTCAAATCACAAGTGGAAATATGATTTCCTGAGCACAAATCAACTGGACTTTGACCTTCCTGGTGTCAAACTACTCTGAAAGGCAAGTTGAGGTTGTTTCACTGACTATGGTCTAAGCAGGACACTAGCAGTCCAAGCAGGACAGGGGAGCTTGTTGCACAGTGGTTGTCTACCAGCTTTTCACTCTGTCTATGAATTGTTTGAACCTATTACGTTTATATTAAATGTTATGACACATTTGGTGTGAAATAAGGCTCCCAAGCATATACATTTTACAGGTCAAGTGCCATTTAGAATCTTAAGATAAGAACCAGTAACTCAGTTGTGCTTAGAAGTAGATTAACCTATTAGCTGCAGCTCAGAGTTAGATGTAAGGAGTTATGAGCTCACTGATTAGCTTTCAAGTGTATATCCAAGAGCCCCTGTTGGTGCAGTGGGTGAAACTGCTGAACTGCTAAACTGCTAAACTTGCTGACTGAAAGATCGCAGGTTCAAAGCCAGGAAGCAGCATGAGCTCCCGCTGTTAGCTCCAGCTTCTGTCAACCTAGCAGCTCGAAAACATGCAAATGTGAGTAGATCAATAGGTACTGCTCCAGTGGGTCATGGCGCTCCATGCAGTCATGCCTGCCACTTGACTTTGGAGACATCTTCGGCTTAGAAATGGACATGAGCACCAACCTCAGAGTCGGACATGACTGGACTTAATTTCAGGGGAAAACCTTTATCTTTTGTGCATATCCTCATGTATAAGTCTAGAAATATTGTCAAAAATCAACATAAACCTGGGATGACTTACCATAAGTACTGTACTTTAAAACTTATCCAAATAGAAAAAAAGAAAAATCTCTAAGATGTGAAAGTTTAGGTGGGAATAGTAAAAACATGGGAAAACTTAAAAGAAACACCAATCTTCTCTACTCGGTTCTCTGTGGTGACCCCTCTATCCTCTCTGTGATGGTGCCACTTCTAGCTTTATCAAATACCGAGCAGGAAAAATAGCAGCACCAGCTAAGGTGCCCCTGAGGTGTTGTTGGCTCTCCCCCCCCCCCCCCCCCCGCAATAGTACAAGTACAAAACGTTATTACAGACACTGACCAGCACAAAGTGGGGCACAAGTACCCTGGGAGGGGAAGGACAACTCCCCAGTGAAGCAGTTATTTAAAAGTAGATTAGAAGACAGTTTAAAATCACATTCTAAAACACAGTTTGTTGTAATAGGTATGGAACGGAAGGGGAAGGGGAGAGATTGATAGGAGGGGTCAAAAATACTGGGGGGGGGGGCACTAGAGGAGAAGGGAGGGGCACATGGCGAGTCTAGTAACATTTCAGCTACTACAGGGTGTTGCCTTGTGGGCTCAATCATCATCCATCTAATATTAAATGCAGCAGCACAGAACTTAGCAACACTGTAAGTTATTGTAGTGTTAGAGTCCAAAAGCAGGAGGGTTGGTTAATATTTTTCACTGTGCCCTGGGTATTTTAGAAGCCATGGTGTAATGAGATTACTTCTAAGGTCTCTGTAGAACATGCATTGTAGAAGCACATGCTCCTTTGTTTCTACATGTCTGGACTCACAGGGGCAGAGTCTCTGCTTGAAGGGGATCTTCTGATACCTCCCCCCCCCAATACATCCGATGGGAGGGCATGGCATCTTGCCAGGATAAAAGCCCTTCAGTGTTCGGGCACCTTGAGGTCTGTTAGGTATGTCATGGGGGCAGTGAGGTATCTAGTGGCTTCCCTAACAATAAAGGCTGGGGGAACAGGCTAGGTCAGATTGGCGCTCTATGTCCAGGATCCGTTGCTTAATGAGATCCTTGGCTTGGTCCCATCTCATGTTTAACAATTGTCCATGGGAGAAACCTAGAGTTGAAATATTTGCTGGCACTGTTTTAATCCATGTGGACTGGAAGTCATCCCTCATGGTTAGCGGGGCAAGACCACATGGAGAGAAGGATAGATGTAGCCAGTAATTGAGAACAGATGTCCATATTCTCGCTTCCACTTTCACAAAGCCTGTCTCCAATCGCAGGGTGGCATTAGAGACACATCTGGGAACCTGTAGAGCTGCTCTTAGGAATTTCGATTGGACACACTCTAGTGGGGCATATTTTGAGAAGGGTCCAAGCTGGGCTCCATACAGCATTTGTACGATTGGTTTTGCTTCAAAAAATTTAAACCTCTACAGTATGATTCTCAACCTATCTACAGATTGTGTCAAAATCCATAATTTTGGTCTTATACATGAGGTATTGGAATATATGGAAATTTCAACAACTTTTCTCTGGAACTCAGATTGAAAACCAGTGGCTTAAATAGCAAAATTTGACCTTTGGGAGAACATAGCACTTTATAAGAAAGATACTGTTGGTGTCCCATGACAGCATAATTCTTGGTGGCACTCGTGTACATTTTAAAGCATTGTGGCATCCTGTTCATATCAAGTATGCAGAGGGAGCTGGATAGCATGTACACTCATTTCTCCATGGCCACTGAGCACCTGTAGTACACCCAGGCATCCCCCCTGAGTTGTTTCACACCAGGAGAGAAAGATCAGCTATAAACTAAAGACTTAACTGTAGCACTTCCTTCCCTGAGTGTGCACTGTCATTTGAATAGCATATTACCATGTCCTCATGGCCATTTAGTGGCTGGGAGCAGAGATGTATCTGGCATAACTGGGGAAAGAAATGCTGCAATTGCCCTCTGGACCAGTGACATAGTAAATAGATGGAGATGGAAAATGTATCTAGACTGGCAACTGGTGCTAATTCAATCAGCTACTTTGGGCTGTTCCTATAGATATACATTATTAAGGAGAAAAAACCCAACAACCTTCGAACCTTGTTTTACTACAATGATATTGTGCTGAATTAGATCACTCACATTTCCACTTACACTCAAGTAAGAGTCTCCCAGAACCTTTAAGTGAATAGGGAATCCTGATGCTCTCATTCCTCCACTACTATTTTCTCTTACCACTGCCTATTTCTCTCCACATTAGCATGGCCAAAATTTGGAGAGAGACTGCAACAGGCACTTCCCCTATTCCCCTTCCTCTTTCCACCATACATGGAGTATGTGCATGCTACAGAACCAATTTAAACTGTGCAGAAAATGGGTAAATGGAGTGAAGTAGAGAACACTAGAAGACAATAATGTATCATTAGAAAATAGCTACCTTTTTTGTAGGAACAAAGATTCTGGAAAGGAAAGGAGAAAGCTTAAAATATTTGGGATTACCAGTGTTGTCTGGATCCTGGAAACATTGGGTCATTACAGGAATAAAAACCATGATCTTCCGATATATTAAGCCAGTATGGATGAAATCTGTCACTCAACGTGTTTGAACTATAGCCTTTTACTACTCTGAAATAGTGTTGACTCTTTCATAAGATAATGAGACTATTTTCAATGTTATAAATGTTTTATTAGAATAAAAAAAGATTACGTACAGTTAACCATAGGATATACACACACAGCTAGAAGTTGGAGGAAAAATTGATAAAACTTTTCAATATGAAACAAAATACTCTGTACACATCTCATGGAGATATTAGAGTTCAAATTTAAATTCTGTAAGGTGAGCGTGAAAATGGCAGTAAAAAGCCCTCCCCAACCTTGTGCCTTTTGGATCTTTCAGACTGCAACTTTTGAGGCTTCCTGATGGTTGGGCATGCTGGATGGGACTGATAGGACTTCAATTCCCAAACATCTGAAAGGCAGGAGGTTAGGGAACACTTTGATGTAACAAGAATGGCAAATAGCCCATTCAATGCATGGATGCAAAATACACGAAGGAGTTTGTTTCCACCTATTGATAAGTGTTTGGAAGCATCAATAGTTTGCCATGTTGAAGAGCAATAAGCTATTTATATTATTTTACTATATACATTATGTACATCCCCCCCCCCCCCCACACACACACACACACTTCAGGAAAATTAGAAAAGAAGTGTGTTTCCTAGTTATTGAACTCTGATCATTTGAGCTGAGCATATAATAAAATATAGGGAAATGTTTGTATTTTACAGGTCTCATTCTTGTGATGACACCTGTCTAGGGAAAAACTGTGAAGAAGAGTGTGTGCCATTAATATTTTGGGATGCAAATTACTTGCACGAGAACTAAAACTATAGCAAATCAAATGTGCCAGGTATAGATTTTTATGGACCCTTTACTCTGAGAGTATAGACTTTGGTTAATGACACCAAGAAAAATCTTTGCTTATAAATAGGCAACGGCAAGGAATTTGCTATCGCCTAGAATAATTCTAAACAGTGGGGTGGAGAAACTGCAGCAAGAGCAATATGCAAAAGGGATGCAATGAAAGAGACAGAAAATACTGAAGTGGCACATTGAAGGGCAATAAATTCAAGACTGTCTATGCACATACACAACATAACATTTAAGGTGGTAATATTCCCTGGATATGAGGCCTAAAAGTATGATGTTCTACTCTAGGCTTAAAAAATATATAATGATAAATATGATGTATAGTGAACAGTATTAAAATATAGGGAACTGAAGTTACTGCTGAAGGTTGCAAGGCAGGCTTGGGAAAACAGATGAAAATGAGATGAGTAAGGGTAGTTTATGGAGGTGTTTAGTATAATTTTAAAAACAACAACCATAAATTCAAAAGCCTAAAGAATATTTTTGCCAGGGTTAGGGTGCTGCATAGCTGAACAAAAACAAGAAAACAAAGCAGATCAGGGATAAATGCCTTGTGATGCTGCTGAAAAACAGCTTCCCCATGGGAGCACCATGGGAGAAGAATGGCCAACAAGAAGATAATGTATCCACTCGGTGCTACAAATGCAAGAAGAACAATGTTTTGAATGCCTTGATATCTAAATGATTTCATATAGACAGTTCCTTTGCATCTTAAGACATAATAGTGGAACCCATCTGTGTCATATCGATGCCACCTTTCTCAATTAATGAAGAATTAAGAAATACATGGAAAAAAACTTGAATGTAGAAACTGATTTTTTTAAAGTAAGCATAAGCAACTGAGGAGTCACATAGTGCATACAAATATATTGATGGATAGATGGGTTCAATAGGCTTTAAAGTGAACAAGGTCCTTTTGTATGTGTGTGCATATACACATATGTATGTGTGACAGATGAGTTTATTAAACAGAATATCAGTGCAAAATTTTGTCCAAATGTAATTCAGTGCTATGAGGCTTTTGAAAAAAGAATTAAAAGTTTCCCATCAAATAATGGTGAAATATAGATCTGTTTTTGTCTTCCATATGTGAGTCTATTAGGGCAGCTGTGCTGCAATCTATGTTAAAATAATTTCATGTTGCTTGGAAAATGGAACTCTCAAAACTTTTCCCAATGCTCATTGACTTAGTTTTGTCATTTCTGAAGCATGTAATGTGAAAACTCCTTTGGTTCATTACATTTTAAGGCATTTTATATTCCTTCAGAAGGAACCGGTTAATGTGTGTATGCTTTGTTTTTGTTTTGTTTTGAAAGAAATATCCAAAGTCATAGGACAAGTTTAAATTCAGAGTGGCAGTAGATCCATGCATAACCACCATCTGCTGCTGTTCTTATTGTTCTAAAAGCACTTTTTCGGTAAATGATTCTCCAGGGTTTGGCCTATATGTGAGAGAATGGATCACCACAAGACTGCTTCAAAAATTAAGAAAACTGTTATTGACATAAAACTGGACCGACAATGTAAGATGGCTGCACCAGATCCTCGTGCATCCATACCTGCAACAAATAGGAAAATCAAATATTAGTTGAAGATCAATTAAAGCATATGCTTTCAATCTTGAGAAAAGATGCTATCAACTCTATTTTGTACTTAACTCCTATTAATTTGACTTTTTTTTTACAGAACGGAATTGCCTCTCCCTCTATCACAGGGAAAGCTGAATTTGCTGACCAAAAGGTTGGCAGTTCGAATCTGGGGAGCGGAGTGAGCTCCTGCTGTTAGCCCCATCTTCTGCTAACCTATTTATTTTTATTTATTTGCTTCATTTATACCCTGCCTTTCTCAGCCCTGTGTGGGGACTCAAGGCGGATTACAATCTGAACCTAGAAGTTTGAAAACATTCAAATGTGAGTAGATCAATAGATACTGTTCCAGCAGGAAGTTAACAGCATTCCATGCAGGCATGCCAGCCACATGACCTTGGAGGCGTCTATGGACAACACCGGCTCTTTGGCTTAGAAATGGAGATGAGCACCACCCCCCAGAGTCAGACATGACTAGACTTAATGTCGAGGGGAAACTTTTACCTTTTATGCTTCCTAACCAACATTTTATACTGCCCTCTGAAAAACACGGGTATTGCATGCTTATCAAACATCAGTCAGCTTTCTGGTTTCAAGTCTCCCTATAAATTTTCCATGAGGTCCACGCTGCCTATTTGCAGATAAATTCAAAGCATTCCTTTCCCCCATCTATCAACTGCTTTCTTTCAAGATTCTAACTTGTCTGACTTTTATCATTATTCCTTTTTGGGGTGTTGTAATGAATAAGAAGCAAATCGTTTTCACCTTTACTTTTAAAACATTTCTTGAAGACGTTTTTGCAAAATCATAAAAACCTTGAATGAATAGCTGATTGATAACTTGATACATAACCAGACTAACTACTAACAGCAGTTTAACTTGATCAGGCCTACTTTGTGGTCCCTACAAGTGCAATGGGAATATTTCCGTTCACATTGTCCCATATCATATAGGCATGTGAAAACTATTGAAAATGTTGATTTTTTTGCAAAGTGGATATGCAACATTTCTCTGGAAATATATGATTCATGTGTTGTTGTTCATTCGTTCAGTCGTCTCCGACTCTTCGTGACCTCATGGACCAGCCCACACCAGAGCTCCTTGTCGGCCGTCACCACCCCCAGCTCCTTCAAGGTCAGTCCAGTCACTTCAAGGATGCCCCTCTTCCTTTTTCCTTCCACTTTCCGCAGCATAATAGTCTTCTCTAGGCTTTCTTGTCTCCTCATGATGTGGCACGCAAAAGTTTACTTGTTTTCACTTTTTTCCCTCCTAGTAAATCTTTTCCCCCGCCCAGTTGGACAGCCGGCCCCCCTTTTTTATTTTTCCTGGAAGGGATGGGACTGGTTTTGGAATTCTTTCCCCCTCCAAATTTCAAGGGCCAACCTTCCTCCAAACAGTTCCCTCCAACCCCACCACAGCTCAAAAAGCAAATCTTTATGCCTCCCTTCGCTCAGCCTTTTCCTAAGTTCCACCTTCTCGACTGTCCGTAAGGTTGGGCTGGCTCCGGAAATTACCATGGCCTTTTACTGGCGGATAAAAATTCTTTGGTTTTTTTTTGCACCTTCCTGAAATGGTCCCCCCCCCCCCTCTACCTCTTTACTATTTTATAGACTGGACATTGCTCTCCTCCCAAGAAGTAAGCGTCTTCTGATTTCCTGGCCACAGTCTGCATCTGCAGTAATCTTTGCACCTAGAAATACAAAGTCTGTCACGGCCTCCACATTTTCTCCCTCTATTTTCCAGTTGTCAATCATTCTTGTTGCCATAATCTTGGTTTTTTTTTATGTTTTGTGTTTAGCTGCAACTCAGCTTTTGCGCTTTCTTCTTTCACCTTGATTAGAAGGCTCCTCAGCTCCTCCTCGCTTTCGGTCATCAGAGTGGTGTCATCTGCATATCTGAGGTGGTTAATGTTTCTTCCAGCAATTTTCACCCCAGCTTTGCATTCATCCAGCCCCGCACATCGCATGATGTGTTCTGCATACAAGTTAAAAAGGTTGGGTGAGAGGATGCAGCCTTGCCGTACGCCTTTCCCAATCTTGAACCTGTCTGTTGTTCCATGGTCAGTTCTTACTGTTGCTACTTGGTCATATAGATTCTCAAGAGACAGACAAGGTGACTTGGTGTCTCCATACCACCAAGAACTTGCCACAATTTGTTATGAACCACACAGTCAAAGGCTTTAGAATAGTCAATAAAACAGAAATAGATTTTTTTTTTCTGAAACTCCCCAACTTTCTCCATTATCCAGCGGATATTGGCAATTTAGTCTCTCGTTCCTCTGTCTTTTCTAAACCCAGCTTGTACATCTGGCAACTCTCGCTCCATGTATTGCTGGAGTCTTCCTTGCAGGATCTTGAGCATTACCTTACTGGCATGAGAAATAAGGGCCACTGTACAGAAGTTTGAGCAGTCTTTCGCATTTCCCTTTTTTGGTATGGGGATATAAGTTGATTTTTTTCCAGTCTGATGGCCATTCTTGTGTTTTCCATATTTGCTGGCAAATGGCATGCATCACCTTGACAGCATCATCTTTTAAGATTTTAAACAGTTCAGCTGGGATCCCGTCGTCTCCTGCTGCCTTGTTGTTAGCAATGCTTCTTAAGGCCCATTCAACCTCACTCCTCAGGATGTCTGGTTCTAATTCACTCACCACACCCTCAAAACTATCCTCGATATTATTATCCTTCCCATACAGATCTTCTGTATAGTCGCGCCACCTTCTCTTGATCTCTTCAGCTTCTGTTAGGTCCCTGCCCTTTGTTTCTTATCATACCAAATTTTTTTTTTTGCCCTTGAAAATCATGATTGGCTGTCCCTGCTTTCTGGAGGAGGTCCCCACTCTTTTGTTGCTCTTTTTCCAATTCGTTTGTCCCTTTCTTCCACTTCCATGCATTCTTCTTTTTTTTTTAAAAATGTTTTTCCCTTTATCCTCTTCTGGCCTTAAACTCTTGAAATTGGTTGTAATTGTTGAAGCTTTTTCCCATTCCTTTTTTTTGCCTTTTTTCTTCTTTCCTTGGGCCTGTTCCCTAAATACTCATCAACAGCTGAAGACCGTTCTTTGTTGTTTTTACACTTTTTCTTTGGCTACCCGTAACTTTTTTTTGTTTTTTTTTGCCTGCCTCCCGAAACATGGGTCTCGGACTTTCTGTCCATAGTGTGGTTTTTTGTTGGTTTCCCCTTCTGGACTTCCTTGCTTTTTACTAAAATCTTAGTCCCCCCCCCCTTTCAAAATCTTTTTTTTTTTTTTTTTTTCTTCACTTGCCACTGTAAATCTGGTTTGCTGGTTTTCTTGGGACCTATCCCTATCTGGTCTGTGTCTTTTCCTTTAATTCTGGAATGGTTCCCTGATTTTTTCCCTTGCTATTAGAAGTTCCGTGATCCGCCATCTAACAGTCCAGCCCCCCCAGGTCTTGGTTTTTCACAAAAGTCAATGATGTCCCCCCCCCGGCCACCTTTTTTTGCCGGCAAAGTGAAGTTAAACAGTCCCCACTCTTGATTTTTTTCGGTTGTTTTTTTTTGACCAACATCCCTGGTTGAAGGTCCCATTTATAAAGCCCTTCCTTTTAGGTTTTTTTGTTGAAAAGAGTGGTTTGTTGTTGATAGCACCACGAGTTTTTTTTTCCTGCAAAATCCCCTATCAGCACTGCGTCCCCCCCGCTTTTTCACCCCATTTTTGTTTTCTCCCAAGACCCATCTTTTGGCCACTTTGATCCCCATTTTGTCCCCCATTTTTTAACTTCCCACCTTGGGCCCCAATTCCAGTCCCCCCCTCCCTGTAATGGACAAATATGAAAAATAAATGGTCCCTCTTTTTTTTGGGATGGTAATTATTCCATAAGTTTTTTCCCTCATATCCTCAAGAACTGATCCCTACTTCCTCTTCTTCAAGGCAAACTTTGTGGGTTTTGGGGCGTGAAATTTTTGATCACTTGTAAGTGTTTTTTTTGACAAGCTTTTCCCCTTTGGTCAACCGAAATTTTGAAGATCCTTCTTCAGTTTTGTTTTTGGTTGTAATCCAAGCACCTGCTTTAGCGATTTTCTTTATTAAAATTTATGAGGGCTACTCCATTTTCTTTCCATGGTTTTTTCCTCTTTTTTTCCGCAGTAAAGTAGATCTGTGGTCCATCCTATTTTTGTTAAGTGGCCCCAATTTTTTTTTCCAGTCCATTTTCCATTTCGCTTGAACCCCCCATAATGTCCCCCTCAATCCTTTTATCCCCCCACCCCTGGAACCATCTCACCCCAATAACAACATCCCCAATTTTTCCCTGGCTTCATAATCCTTACATCCCAGGTTTTTCCTGGGTTTGGGGGTGTTTTTGATCTTTTAGAAGCCTCGGATTCCCCGTCCTTCAACCGTCCAAGTACCGTCGCCCCCGCTAGCCTTTCCCTTTTTCGCTTGAGCTTAGCTGGCTTCCCATCAACAATCTGGGGCTAGTTTGAAAATTAACCTTCCAGCCACCGCCTTGTCGGGGCGCTGGAGCTTGAGCACCTCAATGATGTCATGAGCAAAACCGTGAAGGGACACCCAAGACGGGACGGTTGTGGCAGAGAGGTCAGACCAAGGTGATCCCTGGGGAAGGCAATGGCAAACCACTCCAGTATCTTTGCCAAGAAAACTAAATGGACCAGTACAACCAGAGATATGTCGGTATGCCATTGGAAGATGGGACTCCCAGGTCGGAAGATGGCCAAAATGCTACTGGGGAGGAGCAGAGGATGATTCATGTATTACGTTCTTATTCCAACTGAGTGGTGGTCAACTACACATCCTGTCACATTTCTGTACTGTTAGCTTTCTGGATATTAGCCAGTACCAATTTCAAAAGCAACATGAGAAATGCCATATGTTACACACATATAACCTGACTGAGGATCTCTTCACATGCATCGCCAGAATTGCTGAGTATCGCTACAAATCGAGACGATATCAGAGACACCTGCCCAGGGGACCGCCCTGCATGCCACACTGTCCAGACTTTCCCCTCATTCCGTCAAAGGCTGGGTTCAGGCTTTAAAAAGGGAGACTGGCTATTTCTCCCTTCACTCTCCCTTATTTCTGCAGCTGCTTCAAGACTCAAGCCATCTGGGTTCAGGTTTTAAGGGGGAGTTGGCTATTTCTCCTTTTACTCATCCATCTTTCCTAAGTTGCTTCAATCCTCAAGCCAGTTGTGTTCAGGTTTTAAAGGGGAGCTGACTATTTTTCCTTTCACTCTCCCTTCTTTCCGCAACCAGGTTTTCACATTGCCAGAGGAGGCCCACACCACCATGGCCTCCCCCTCAACACATGAGTGAAGCCTCTTTAAGCTGGCTCAACCCATTTTTCCCTTATGGAAAGATGGGAAGCTTCCTGTTTTGTGCTGCTGCCAATTTTTCAGTGACAGAAATTGATTTTTACACTTTTGCCATAGAACCACTGTGGAAATACTTTCACTGTGTGTGATGGGAGCTGGCGGGCTCCATGGTGAAAATGCAAAAAACCCGTTGCAGCCACTAAATTTCAGCCCATGTGAAGAGGTCCTTAGGTGTCTTGTGATTGCTCTTAAGCCTTACTGTTTTTGCACTGCTAATCCTGCAGAAACTATAGTCTGTGAATATGTGGTGGGAAATGGGGACAAGTCCTATGGCCCTGCCTCTCTAGTCACATGGAAATTTGTAATTGTGTTTGACTCTCTTGCTGAAAAAGAATGAATGACTGCTGCAAGAACTTCTGTAGTTTCTCTTGGCTTATGCACTCAGATGCTTTTAAGCACTTGACACTTCAGCTGAGTGTCTATTTGAACATGCCAGCCTCTATTCCATTCTACTGTATAATAACATCCTAGAAAACACCAGCCCAGCAATTTCAGCACAAAGAGCTAGACAAATTTGTTCCATTAAGGAAGATTCATAACGTGAACCAGCACTAATTCTAAAGATGCATTCCCCACTCAGCTTTGTGGGGCTGGGAAACCCTTGTGATATGGTTCTCAGAAGTCATAGAGGGGTGTGGGAGGGATTTGAGAGAACGAACATCCTGAAAGTTTTAGCAATACAACATCAGCACAGAGACCCTATTGGCTAGTTTAGGGGTTTAAAACTTACTTGCTAGTTTAGGGATTTTAATCTGTTCACTGCTAATGCCATCTCCGCCATCAGTTGCTGCCTTCACTTCTATAATATAGTCATCATTTAAAGGCAGCAGAAGTTCTGCAGATGTTCTATTTGTGATCAGAACACTGAGCTGGTTCTGGTTGCTAGTCCGATATAGAACCTGCAGTATAAAAAGGAAAGCAATTATGTTACTAGTATTATATAATCTATCATAATGTATTAATGTCATTTCTAAGAAGAAAGTGGGGGAAAGCATTAAAAAAGTCATAGTGAGAAGGGCACACAGCAATACTGTACCTAATATTTTTGAAGGCACTGAAAATGCATCACATAAATCAAGCATATTATCGCTTTAATCTAGAGGAGGAAAATACATTACAACAAAAGTATAATATATTCCACTGCATTTCTTGATAGTTGGGTTTCTATAAATTATTTTTCTATCTCAAATTTTTCATTGTGTGGATTAAGCAGAGGAAAAGGACACTAGATGTTAATACAAATGAAAAATGTGAGGAATTATGAGCTATGGTAGAAGAAAATCTCTCTGTAGCAAGTAATCACTTGGTCATGGAATTTAACTACAGATCTCTGCATTTAACTGCATCTAAAATAGTATTCCAGCAAAGGATCACCGCCTTGTCGGGGCGCTGGAGCTTGAGCACCTCAATGATGTCATGAGCGAAACCGTGAAGGGACACCCAAGACGGGACGGTTGTGGCAGAGAGGTCAGACCAAGCGTGATCCCTGGGGAAGGCAATGGCAAACCACTCCAGTATCCTTGCCAAGAAAACTAAATGGACCAGTACAACCAGAGATATGTCGGTATGCCATTGGAAGATGGGACTCCCAGGTCGGAAGATGGCCAAAATGCTACTGGGGAGGAGCAGAGGATAAGTGCAACTAGCCCCAGATGTGATGACGCAGCTAGCTCAAAGCCGAAAGGAAGGCTAGCGGCCGACGGTACTGGAGGTGAACGACGAATCCGATGCTCTAAAGATCAACACACCATAGGAACCTGGAATGTAAGATCTATGAGCCAGGGCAAATTGGATGTTGTTATTGGTGAGATGTCAAGACTAAAGATAGACATTCTGGGGGTCAGCGAACTGAAGTGGACTGGAATGGGCCACTTCACATCAGATGACCACCAGATCTACTACTGCTGACAAGAGGAACATCGAAGAAATGGAGTAGCCTTCATAATTAATAAGAAATTCGCTAAAGCGGTGCTTGGATACAACCCAAAAAATGACAGAATGATCTCAATTCGAGTGCAAGGAAAGCCTTTCAACATTACAGTGATCCAAATATATGCCCCAACCACAGCTGCTGAAGAAGCAGAAGTAGATCAGTTCTAGGAGGATCTGCAGGACCTACTGGATAATACACCAAAAAGAGACATTATTTTCATTACAGGAGACTGGAATGCCAAGGTGGGAAGTCAAATGACAACTGGGATCACAGGCAAGCATGGTCTGGGAGAACAAAATGAAGCGGGACGCAGGCTGATAGAATTTTGCCAGGAAAACTCGCTGTGTATAACGAATACTCTCTTCCAACAACCTAAAAGACGGCTTTACACATGGACCTCACCAGACGGTCAACACCGAAATCAGATTGACTACATCCTTTGCAGCCAAAGGTGGCGGACATCCATCCAGTCGGTGAAAACAAGATCTGGGGCTGACTGTAGCTCAGATCACGAACTTCTTATTGCCCAATTTAGAATAAAACTAAAGAGATCAGGGAAAATACACAGACCAGTTAGATATGATCTCACTAACATTCCTAGCGAATATACAGTGGAAGTGAAGAACAGATTTGAAGGACTAGATTTAGTAAACAGAGTCCCAGAAGAACTATGGACAGAAGTCCGCGACAGTGTTCAGGAGGCTACAGCAAGTACGTCCCAAAAAAAAGAAAACCAAGAAGGCAAAATGGTTGTCTGCTGAGACACTGGAAGTAGCCCAAGAAAGGAGGAAAGCAAAAGGAAACAGGGATAAGGGGAGATATGCCCAGTTAAATGCGCAATTCCAGAGGTTAGCCAGAAGAGATAAGGAACTATTTTTAAATAAGCAATGCATGGAAGTTGAAGAAGACAACAGAATAGGAAGGACAAGAGACCTCTTCCAGAAAATTAGAAACATTGGAGGTAAATTTCAGGCAAAAATTGGTATGATAAGAAACAAAGATGGCAGGGACCTAACAGAAGCTGAAGAGATCAAGAGAAGGTGGCGAGACTATACAGAAGATCTGTATAGGAAGGATAATAATATTGAGGATAGTTTTGACGGTGTGGTGAATGAATTAGAACCAGACATCCTGAGAAGTGAGGTTGAATGGGCCTTAAGAAGCATTGCTAACAACAAGGCAGCAGGAGATGACGGGATCCCAGCTGAACTGTTTAAAATCTTAAAAGATGATGCTGTCAAGGTGATGCATGCCATTTGCCAGCCAATATGGAAAACACAAGAATGGCCATCAGACTGGAAAAAATCAACTTATATCCCCATACCAAAAAAGGGAAATGCGAAAGACTGCTCAAACTTCCGTACAGTGGCCCTTATTTCTCATGCCAGTAAGGTAATGCTCAAGATCCTGCAAGGAAGACTCCAGCAATACATGGAGCGAGAGTTTCCAGATGTTCAAGCTGGGTTTAGAAAAGGTAGAGGAACGAGAGACCAAATTGCCAATATCCGGTGGATAATGGAGAAAGGCAGGGAGTTTCAGAAAAACATCTACTTCTGCTTCATTGACTATTCTAAAGCCTTTGACTGTGTGGATCATAATAAATTGTGGCAAGTTCTTAGTGGGATGGGCACCCCAAGCCACCTTGTCTCTCTCCTGAGGAATCTGTACAAGGACCAAGTAGCAACAGTAAGAACTGACCATGGAACAACAGAGTGGTTCAAGATTGGGAAAGGCGTACGGCAAGTCTGCATCCTCTCACCCAACCTTTTTAACTTGTATGCAGAACACATCATGCGATGTGCGGGGCTTGATGAATGCAAGGCTGGGGTGAAAATTGCTGGAAGAAACATTAACAACCTCAGATATGCAGATGACACCACTCTGATGGCCGAAAGCGAGGAGGAGCTGAGGAGCCTTCTAATCAAGGTGAAAGAAGAAAGCGCAAAAGCCGGGTTGCAGCTTAACGTCAAAAAAACCAAGATTATGGCAACAAGAATGATTGACAACTGGAAAATAGAGGGAGAAACCGTGGAGGCCGTGACAGACTTTGTATTTCTAGGTGCAAAGATTACTGCAGATGCAGACTGTAGCCAGGAAATCAGAAGACGCTTACTTCTTGGGAGGAGAGCAATGTCCAATCTCGATAAAATAGTAAAGAGTAGAGACATCAGACTGGCAACAAAGATCCGCCTAGTCAAAGCCATGGTATTCCCTGTAGTTACCTACGGATGTGAGAGCTGGACCTTAGGGAAGGCTGAGCGAAGGAAGATTGATGCTTTTGAGCTGTGGTGTTGGAGGAAAGTGTTGAGAGTGCCTTGGACTGCGAGAAGATCCAACCAGTCCATCCTCCAGGAAATAAAGCCCGACTGCTCACTGGAGGGAAAGATACTAGAGACAAAGTTGAAGTACTTTGGCCACATCATGAGGAGACAGGAAAGCCTAGAGAAGACAATTATGCCGGGGAAAGTGGAAGGCAAAAGGAAGAGGGGCCGACCAAGGCAAGATGGATGGATGGCATCCTTGAAGTGACTGGACTGACCTTGAGGGAGCTGGGGGTGGTAACGGCCGACAGGGAGCTCTGGCGTGGGCTGGTCCATGAGGTCACGAAGAGTCGGAGACGACTGAACGAATGAACAACAACAAAATAGTATTGCAGAGTTCCCCTGCAATAAAGCTTCTTTCAGGATACAATTAATCTAGTCATTAATATTTGGCACTAGTAAGAGAATTGCAGCAGTGGTCATAAGAATCCAGAGTTTGATGCGAGAAACATTACAAAGCAAAAGTGAGAAATTTATATTAGCTAGAATATTCAACATACTGTACAATGAAACAATATCATTATTTCTATTTATCATCTATCTAATTTCTGTATTGCTCCCAGCCCACAAGGACTCTCAAAGCACCAAACAAAAACCAATTAAAACAACACAAAAATAAATATTAAAACCTTTTTGTTTTATATAAAAAATATCCTAAAAGCAGTCTGAAAACTATCCTAGAATTCAATTTTGAAAATAGTTAAAACAGCAGTCTCAAGCACTGATTACCACATGTAAAACCCACTGCTTCACCTGTCCACTGAAACTTAGAGATGGGACCAGCCTTTCTTGGGTAGAAAGCTCCACAGTTGAGGTGCTGCTTCAGAAAAAGCCCTGAAGCCCCAATTGCATTTTATTGCATTATGTTCAACCTGTATAATTGTAAAATGTATTTATGTATGTAAAATTACAGACCACCCGAAGAAGGCCTAAAGCAAAGGCCGAAACCGGTCATGGGAGGCTGATTCATGAACATACAACGACATCACTAAAAGACTACACAGAACTTATTGCATATTGCTTTATTTTGTGACTACTGTGAATTGAACTATCTAAGTTTCTCAATTTACCTACTTGTTGGACTTATTCATTATGTTATCTTTATAAGTGGATTATTGGTGTTTAACTTGTTTACTAAGGAACCCATTCATAGTGTATTGTTCCAAAGCATTGCTTTGTTATGGCAGAATGGCTACAGGAATTAAGTTTTGATGATAAATGCAAGGAATCTTTAATTAAAGACAGATCACTCTTTGAAACCGGGGGACCTACCCCCAGTAACTCCAATAGGGAGACAAATATAAGGGAATATGAAAAGTTGAAACGCAGAGAAATTAGGCTAGACTTGCATGCAACAACACTGGCAGAATACATTAGAGCCAATAGAATACCTAGGGGACTACGCATTTTTAAACCCCCAGGGATGTTTCAAGAGGATGAGTCCTTTCATCAAAAATGGGTGGCAATTCTCAACAAATGTTCACAGGACTTGATGCTCCTGCTAATTGCACGTTCAAATGAAGAAATTGCCATCGTAAAAACTCAGTCTCTAGGTGTGCTAGAGAAACTCAACTCTGATGCGCAATTTAAAATTGATTTGGACACCCTCACGAATAAACTTAAGGAATTTTCCACACAACTTAGG